CGTTTCAGATTTCACTATTTCCACTCGGTGCGGGGCATCCAGCATTTTTTTCCAGGTGGTGTTTAAATTAATTTTCAACACATTTAATCCGAAAATGATTTATCGATGAAAACAACCCCCTACCACGAGGATACGCGCCACACACGCGGGTGGGCACTTATCTGTCAGAATAATATATTATTCGATTATTGTCGGTTTCGATCTCATTTCCGCCTGCACTGTTTGGCGTCATAATAATATTATAATGCGATCGGTCATTAACGGGCGAAATCCCGGCGCCAAAGGCGTTCGCTTACATCGTTTTTATCGACTTACGCGGGTCCGCCCGCCGCCGCCGCGCGTCGGTCCCGTTCGTGGACGTTCGACCCCGCCCGCCCGCCCGCCGGCACCAGATGAGTCGCGTACGGACTCCGGCCCGAGATCAGTGCAACACTCACGCCCCGAACACACACGCGCCAACAGCCAACTCGTGCCCAGACGCCCTGGGTACGAACACGAAAGAGAATCGTATGATATTTAATAATAATATTAATATATTTAGTGCGTAACACGCGAGACATGGACGAGCCGATCATGTGCACCGTCTGCGTGCTGCCGTCGCCGTTGCGGTAGGCGCTTCGAGATCGCGTCCGGGAGGAGGACGACGTCGCAGGGTTTCCGGTCCTGCAGTTGAGCCGTCTCGAGACAAAAAAAAGTAAGACGACAGTGTTGCGTAGTTATAATAAGGAAACGACAAAACGTTTTCCATTAAAAAAAAATCGAGTAACGCTCGTTTTTTAGCGTCGAACCCTTCGGCGGGAGATCAGCCTGCGAAAAGAACCGTCCGCCGAAACCGAACGCCGCGCGCGTGCAGCGCGAACGGTTAAGCCGTCGAAAACAAGGTCGATCGATATAATATTACACGTTCCGCGTCTCTCCTCCTCACCCCGCAATGGACCATTTGCCTCTTGACGCACCACCAACACCACCTCCACCGCCGCCATTGCCTGGATCCCATCAACCCCTACACCGACTACCCCGACCGACACACCCGCGTTTCCGCGATACTTCCGTCTACCGCACGGACACGCCAAAGGGGGGTGCGTAATGTGGAGCGCCGATTATGATATGTTTTTTTTTCCGTCCATCTCTCCCTCTGTCTCTTTCAAACTTTCCCTCTCTCTCTCTCTCTCTTGTCATTATTATTGTTATTATATACACACACAAATATCGCACTCGGCACACGCGAGGTTTCCATTCGAGCATTATCACCATCGCGATACCTCGCTATTATACAATATACGATAACCCTTCGAAACGGGGCTTCCCTCCGCGCCGGTGAGGTTTTCGAGTAGGTATTAAAAAATAGTATGAAAGCCGAAGTGATCCGGGCGCATCGTATATATAGGTATATAACGTCGGCGTTCATCATTAGAATATTATTATCATAATTTATCGTAATGACTCGCCAACACGTTTCGACGACCGTCCGTCGACGACCGTTCGCGTCGGGTGCTATTATAATAGGTACTTATGTGCCTATACGATCATGTCGGTGGAGGTAATGATGCCATTGAACTCCGAGCACGTTGTGTGTACAATCACTTGATATCGTATCGTCGTTCCGATCAACACCAATCAACTCATTGACGTTCGATTTCTCGCGGTATTTACACTATAATAATATAATAATTATATTACTGTCAATGAAACATCCAATTTTTTTTTTTTTTTAACGCTATAAACTATTATTACACTACCTACAATAGATCAGGTATTTAAGTAACTAGGTACTTGATTGTTTTTTTTTAATCATCACAATAAGTATATGGGTATAGACAAATAAACGCACGATTTAATTTTTCTCTATAATTACCTAATACATTACTGCAGTCGGTCAATTATTCGGTAGTTATATGGTAACCAAATGCGTGGTTGAGTGCACGGTGTTTTTTGTGCACCACGCGTTATTCTTTATATTATTTAGCACTTTAATAAATACATTAGAGTAATACATTTTTATAGTGTTGAATTGATATATCACGTTAAAATAGTGCCGACAGGTTTTACAACACGAATTTAAACAGAATTAAAAATTCTTAACATACCTTACAAAACAATAAACAAATTTAAAAAAAACAACAAATTAATTACTAGGATAGGTAGGTATATTATTATGAATAAGAAAATGCATAGTATAAATTGTTTTAAACTTATTGTTAACAAATAACAAATGTATCACATAGTTCATAAATAATACCTACTACACCAACTATTATTATACATAATGACGTGTTGTAATATTAAAAATATTAAAAAAATATTAAAAATATGTTATGGTCTCTATTTTATAGTTAAATATATTGAACAATATTAGATAAAATATTCAAAACAATTTATGAATCTTTATTAGTTAATAAGTATTATCTTTTTTTATTCTTACTATATTTAACTAATTCGTGACTATTTACTCACTCACATTTGGCCTTGGATTTTTGTAAAATAAATTAAGCAAAACGTACTCGGATGACTATACTTTTACTTTACTTATACGGACTTTAAAATAAAAAAAATTGTACAGTATAAGGTACCTATGACCATTGAGTACCTATATTATATTGTTTACTCGATGCAACACCTATAGTAACTTACAGTTGCGTACCTTTATTCAAACTATTGTATACAAATTGTGAAATGATAGAACAAAATATTTTTTTATATTATAATATGTATACACCTATTTATTTTAACGATAATATGTGGAATATAGTATAATAAAGTAAACAAAACCGTGGAACAAAAATATAAAAAACCCATACCTATATACTATTATTAGTTTGAATATTACATTTTTAAATGTTGACGAATTAATTATTTGATTTTCAAATGTTAATAATTTACGTGTTTGTTTGGGATGTAGTCCAAGTTATGAATAAAAATGCTTTTAGACCTGTCAAAGTCGAGTCAGTCCTGATGGTATCGGTGGCTTTTGGTTAGGATGTATTTTATTTAGAGCCTGACACCGATAACTTGCTTTACATCAACAAAATAATGTATTTTACACTGTACCTACCACATGATTATCCAAAAAAAAAATTCATAGCCGCAATGAGTATAATATTATGTACGTTTGACCAAGCATACTCAGCCCATTGTTGTCTTCAATAATGTAGTTATTTATAATCTGATTCGTGGAACAATCAAGTATGCTTTATGACCATGTTTCAAAATTCTTGTACCACCCTTAAGGAGTGTTCCGAAGAGATACAACCTTCTGCATTTCTTATGAGAACCCCCTTTCTTTTCTACTGTAAGTTATTTAGAGGGTAATTTTTCTGAAAATGTTGACATATTAGAATCATAATTAGTATGAGAAGCTTTTGTATTATCATTTGTCAAAATGAACTTAGTATATTAAAAAATACTAGATTCAATATTACACATAATTTATATTTTTTTAATAACATTTTCGAGGACTATTATCCTTAGCACAAGCCTTTTAATGAATTAGTTAAGACTCCATCGAATTTCAAATTAAATAATTACAACATCTTCAACATTTTAAAAATTATCCTCTCAATAGTTTAAAGTAAAATAATAGGAGGATCTCGTTTGAAAAAATTAAGTTTTCTATCGCCACGTGACTACCCTCCTTAATTACTAATTAGTACGAAACATTTTGGTAAAATGTTCGTATTTGTGCATTTTTAAATTTCCATAAACCGTAATTTGAATAAACTCGTTATTAAAACAAAAAATGAGGGTCAGCATATTTGGCGAAACACTCTGTGTACCTATTATGTAACACACGAATAAAAATAATATTTATATATTATTACAACAAACGTCAAGACAGGTACATAATATAAATGGTACAGTTGATGCACGATCGTTGTCTTTGCAAACCCGCGATGGCTGGATCAGAAATAATATTACATACTATTTTACATTATAATCATAATATTATATTCAAATAATTACCTGAATAAAATTCCCTAAATGTATACAAACACACAATAACATTATACTTTCTATATGTCGCAATGCATACGTGAATTATTTCCAAAACACATACTATGTACGCCTACGCTCTCCGCTGAAAATGAAATATGATCGAATCAATTATCGTGTTTCGACCATTTATCATATTTTGATTGATAAGCATGTATGGTATTTATTATAAGTCTCGACGCCGTTGTTGCGTGTTTTTTTTTTTTTACTAATACCTAGGTACATTCGATATAGGTATTACAAATTTATGATAATATTTACGTCCAGTATCTTACTATAATATGTTTGGTACTTCTTCGTAATAATAATATTAAATTCTGTGGACTATTAGTAATCTATTACACAAAATATATCGTTACAACGATCACTGTCATCGTGTGTGTCGCAACCGAACGAAACGAATATAATTCTAAAATCTCGTCGATAAAATGTAGATGAATATTATATTTCATAAAAATAAATGTTTGAAAATTGTAAATACCGAGATCGGCCTATTTTATATACTCACTATACATATAACCACTCGGGTAAATTATTGAGTTTTGAAATAATCGTCAGGTGAAAGTGTCATTATATAGTTGTACGGCAAAGGTGTATAACTACTCACTAGGTAGGAACATAATATTATTTCTAATAATTCCTGTTTTGATACCGACCACCGATTAGTCTGCAGCGCATGATGTATACCTGCCGATCAATGTCATATAATAGTATTTCTGGGCGGCATTTTTCTCCGGACACCGTGACTTGCCCGGAGAACAAGTGCCGCCATCCCCCACTCTGGGGCATGGCAGAAACCTACGGGTGCCCTATTAGACATTTGGCCAAAAAATACACACACGTGTAACACACCTACCGTTCCAAAAACCTACAGTACCAACCCCCCTCCCAATGGCCTAAGTTGCCGCGGGATAATTAATAAAAAAAATAGTATTGTAGTGTGATATAATAAAAAACAATAACAATAATAATAATGATCGGTAAATATCGATGTTGAATTTTTTCCAGCGATGAAAATCATTTGCGCCATATTCGCCGCGGTCATTGTCGGTCAGTTGGCCATGCCGTACGCTTCCGTGTACGGAAGTGCCGACGCCAAACGACTTTACGACGATCTGCTGAGCAACTACAACAGACTCATCAGACCCGTAGGCAACAACTCTGACCGGTTGACGGTCAAAATGGGTCTGAAACTGTCGCAAATCATCGAAGTGGTAAGTTTCCGTCCTACTGTGGATTTTTAAGGTTGCTCGTCTAAAATAATACATCGTACGAATATTATCATAAAGTCCTAAATAATACCGAGCAAAGTAACAGTTGTTTGCAATGATTCATTCGATGTCAAACGATCGAACGTTTTTAGTTTTTAGGTTTCGAGTAATATACTATGTGTACAATCAAACAATTATAATAAAATGCGTTCTATCTGGTCGGAACTCGAATTAATTACATGCACGTCCGGTTTGATTAAAAGCGAAAATTCGCTCTTCTTGAAATATTTCGATGAATTTATGAAAAATTGTTTTTTCCTTTAAACGTAGGTTCTAAAATATTTGGTCATAGATGATAATAAAAGATTATTGATAATTGATTACACTCAACAATTATTGGTAATAAATTACTATTAACGACCAAGGTTTACGAATTACTAAGTTTATTATGGTTATAAATTAGGTACAAATATGGTAGTATCGGTTCATTTATCACTTATCAATGTCCCTGTTGGCTATTTTTTTTTTTAAATAATATTCGTTACAATAAACAGACTTTTAAAAATGTTCTCTTGCTGTAAGTTGATGACTATAAACTTTTAGATGTAATATACATTAATTAGTTTTTATTCATAAATTAAATATTTCAAAAAAGTCTCATAGATTAATATTTTAAGAAAATACATGTCATGAAATTAAGAAAACCTAGTGGTACTGACTCAGCTATACATTCTTAGCTCTTATATTACATGATGGTCGATGATATTATAATTTATTATACGTTTAGCCATAAACAGCATCATTAACGTCATATCCCCAAAATAAGTAGTGTCACATGGCCTAAGATCAAGTGACTTGGGAAGCCAGGGGCATCCAATGGTCATTTTGAATAACCCTGTACCTATTGTTATAATTGTATGTACTGAGCCGCTAAGAAGAGTAAACTAATTAGGTTTGTTATTTACCTAATTTTTATAATATTATAGGTAGGTAGTAGTCATTTTTATTAATTCTTGATTTCCAAATTTTCTTTTTCCGATAAACCAGATGAAAAAATAAGAGGAAAAATAAATAAAGTTTCGATGCACACTCTCAGAACGGTAATAATGAGTTGTAAGGCGAACGGTGGGTAAAAGGGAATAAAATATAGATTTGGCTGTTTTTCGAATATTTCACTATCTCGAAGAAATCAATGGTCTAAGTAGTTTTCTTGGCACCTTCCCCAATATCGTTCACGTGCATGTTTTTCCAAACGAATAAGACGCAATTTAATTTGCTGCTCTTTTGCTCAGTACATCGGATAATATTACAGTCGGTGGAAAATTCGAAGCAAAAATTCTTTTTTATATAAGTACATACTTTTTTATATTACTTTGTCATATTCATGTAATCCGGCTTGCACCTAAGACAGTAATACATTACAATGTAAGACTGTCATTTTTTTGGTAAATCGCCACCAACACAGCATGGTCCCGCCCCGTGAGTGTATTACAACTTAGCGGCGATGGGTATGTCGAGAAGAGGAATAATACATTTTGAAAATAATAATATTGGCACAGGTTAAACCGTCCGCAACTATATGCGTACTGGACCTGTATAATGCGCAGAAATACAATAATAAAATCGTAAAATATTATGGTACTTACCCTTTAGGTATAATGTAGCAATAATTGCTAAAAATACATATTTTATAATACTATGCCATTTTATGCTTTGTAAACAATAATAATATTATGTTCTACATTATTTTGTAATTTTCATAATAATCGTTTATTTTCATAATATTATGTGTGAGTGTGTGTGTGTGTATACAATATGATATTATGACTGATACAAAAGTACCATTAAAATAATTACTGTTATGGAACCCACCTACGTGTCTTTATTTTATGACTTCGTAAACCCATTATTATCGTTTAAAATAAAATATTATTATGTTATGATTACATATTATTGTCATTTGGGCGTTTTTCATTAAATTCGACAGTTTTTACTACAGTAATATTATTACTAATGTTCACATCGAGTTCTATGTTTTTATCCTTCTCTTGTCAATATTTCCCAACGACAGCGTTTAATCATTTCGGAAATGTGGTTTGACGTTTGTGACCTATACTGATGTGAATTTTGGTAGACAGCTGGGATTAATAACGCTGTCTGTCTCCCAAAGAACTAAATAATTAATCATTGTGGACTTTCAATTACTCGCTGCTCTATACGAAATAACAGAACGAGTGACAAATTTGATGTATTTCGTTGTAAATTGCTATTTGAAATAAGAATTTAGTAGATAGATATTTTATGTGCATTTAACCTCACACATAGAGATATGGAATTTACCGGTAAACTGTACATACGTTAACTTCGGTTAATCAGTAGATATTTTCAATAATTTTTTTTCGTTTGTTTCATTTTACGTATCTAATATTATATTGATTAAAATTGTCATACTGATATTCATTAATTAATCTTAAAGACTAATAAAATATTACATTAGTATTCATTAGTCATCTAAATTATACTATTATTACACTTGTAAAAACATATAATGGGCAATATTGGTCATTTTAACCTCTGTAAAATTGTAAATTTACCATTAAACTGTACAATGCTTCCATCTCCACTCCAACATAATATCAATATTAATATCTTACAATAACTGCAGTCCTGAAATAAACGAATTACAATAATAAATTTTTGTATTTTTTTTTTTTTTGGATAGAATTTAAGAAATCAAATTATGACGACGAACGTATGGGTCGAACAGGTAAGAAATATCTACTAGAATCGTATAATTGTATTATTATATTTTACGTTTACGTTTTATTGTATATTTCTAGGAATGGAATGACTACAAACTGAAATGGAATCCCGAAGATTACGGAGGAGTAGATACTCTACACGTACCATCCGAGCACATTTGGTTGCCAGACATAGTCTTGTACAATAAGTAGGTTTGACATAAGAATAAAAAATTATTGCAATTGAAATATTATGTACACCAATTTAATTTAATTTGGGCTTGATTGTTTTTAACAGTAACACGCGACGTATATCTGATAATATGATAATAAGTGAGATATACGTCTTAATATTATAATATGAAGAAAAAAATGTGATTTTTTTTCCCGATTCCGTAAACAACCTGACAGGTCTGTTCAGGCACACAACGTGACGGCAAAATCCATAAATTAGTTGTTAAATTCATCTTTACGAATTTATAAATTACCTATTTAATATGAATACCTATAAGGTGTAGTATTGTTTATAACAAAACTTAAGTTTATTATAGGACAATTTTTGAGAACCACGGACGTTTAAAATGTCCATGCTCTAAAAATTTACAAACATGTCATGAAAACTTTATACTAATATAGATTATGTCTTTATATAATATAATAATATGTCCTATATACTCATACCACACGCGGTAGTCATCAGCTACCATACCGTGTACCGTGTTTCCCGTGTCCGTAATTTATTTTTCTCGTTTACGTCATCGACAATAATATTAAACATGATAATACTAATATGAAAACAAAAAATGTACATTAATTCAATTTTTATATCGTATCTAATTTAGTTATCAGTAAAATCAGAATGTCAGATCAAACACGGGCAGCTTAGGACATACGGTATACGCGGTGTAATACCGCCCTTATATTGTTAATTAAACAGGGTGTGGTATCTGGTAAGTGATTAATATTCATTTAGCTCGTATATTATAATATATTAATGATTTTAATTTCTCAAAAATCTATTCACTCTCAACTCGTTACCGTATTTATCCGTTACTATAATTTTATAAGCATACTAGGTTTGGAAAATCTACACATCGATATAGTAATGCGTACCTATATTATTATAATAATTATATATTTTACAATTTTGATCACTTATTTCTGTAATAATTTGAATACTATACAATATTATAAAGCACTATTTATAAATTAGAGTACGGCTGGGCAAGTGTATATAATAAGTGTATATTATAATATTATTATTCAATGTCACAATTACACACTCTTATGAAAATACGTAGATTAATCATCACATAAATATCTATTACATTTGTACATTTTATTATATTAGAGATATAAAGTAAATTGATAACACTACGAGTATGAAAACAAACAAACATTTTAATATAATTTTAGGTATACTTCTGCAATTTGTTTGATCAGTTATAATTGATATAGGATAATAGTATGGGAATATAATATCATCCTGTAGGTGTTCGCCATCAAAGTTTAAACTCTAGTTTGATAGGCGACCTGCGATGTAGTTATACATTATGTTTCGGTTCAGACGAAATCTATATAGGCTTCGGTCATTTTTACGTCAGAAACGCGTCTTTGTTGCGACGATGATGATAATGACGACGACTGACAAACAAAAACCGTATTATTATATGACAATGCGATAATATTTGCAGCGCCGATGGCAATTACGAGGTGACGATTATGACGAAAGCGATACTGCACTACACGGGAAAAGTCGTGTGGAAACCGCCGGCCATCTACAAATCCTTCTGCGAGATAAACGTCGAGTACTTCCCGTTCGATGAGCAGACGTGTTCCATGAAGTTTGGATCTTGGACTTACGACGGATACATGGTGAGAAACCGCGCTCGCGGCCGGGTGGCGTGATGTGCGTCTCTGAAATATCGATTTTCTCTTTGTCGGTCTCGAGGTGAAAAGGTAATTTTCCGAGGGGGTGGGGGAGAGAGGGTCACCGGGAAAGTAGTCACACCAGTTGTACGAGTTGATTGATTGAACACCACAGTTGTCGTTGTTGTATAAATTGATATGTCGGACGCGGTCCGTCGTCGTGGCACCAAGCAGTTGATGATATTATTATTTTTATTGTTATTGTTGTTATTGTAATATTATAACAATGCGTAGGTATTCTATAGTCCGAGGGCCGTGAATGAAAAGGTTCTACGTCACAATTGTTCAGGAGAGCGATTTGTTAGCTTTGATACTATATAATAACCAGGCCTCGGAAGTTGTAGCACTAAAAACTTTACTTTTTAGCCCTTGAATATGTACTTAAAAACTTCCAAATATGCACTGTAAATAGTACAAAAAATCAAAAAATATGCATTTAACTTTAAAATATTAAAATTTATTAGAAAAAAAATTAAAAGCCATTTTACAATTTTATAAAACTGTTGTACTCATAGACGTCAAGGACTATGTGGACTAGTTGAATTAGAAACTGTTAACAAATATATTAAATTACTTAAATATGTTTGTGAAAAGTGTACTTATAAGGTCTATTTATTTCCGAACCGAGTTAATCATTATTTTCAACATAATGTGATAATTTCGTATAATATTTAGGTATATATTATGTATATTAAGAAAATGTACCCAAAAATAGCCCTATAAACCATAAATTATCGAAAAAAAACCGTAAATATGCAAAAAAAAAATAGCAAAATAAAATCTCTTGTATTACATCAAAGAAGTGTGATACATATTTTTATCTTACTTTAGATGTTCTAGGACGAACCAAGAAAAATATGCATTTGCTAGCCTTCCGAACCCTGAAATAACTTATTTTCAGGTTGTGTCTTATGAATATAACTAACGTCTTGATGCATATTGCATATTATAATATCAAAATAACTATTGTCAGAAACATTATATGTATTAAGTATTAGGCAACCAACCACAAAATGAATCAAAAATAAAAAAACTAGACATATTAATTGTATATGAAAAAAAGTTCATTATAATATTGAACCTTTTTATTCTCCCGAACAGGTAACTGATTTTATTTACATACAACTTTTTTCTATTAAATTAAAATATAAATTGGCTGCAATTAATCGATAACATTGTTCTCATCTATACGAAATTATGTTATTGTTATGTAAATTTTTTTTTTTTTTGTACCACTGATATTATCGATAAAATCACTTAATACTATCCAACGTTGAATCACACGACGATAAAAATTTTTCACTCTGTATATCTTACTAATTATTCCATGTAGAAAACCCGCTGTAGGTTATCAAAACATGGACGCTAGAAAATTAAACATATTTATGCAGCAAACCGACTTTTGAATAAAATTGGACGTAAGAACCTTTTCGTTCTCAGCCCGCGAACTGTTGAGATGATAATATTATATTATCGTGTACATTTTTTCTATTATTATTATTCACCTGAAACGCGTCACATTTAGGTAGAGCTCGTCTAGCATATTAATATTATTATCATAATACCGTACCTACGTAGTAGTTTGACAGTGACCGTTTGTTATTATTTTTTTTTAATTAATATTTTTCGTTTCGTTTCCTCTCTCCTCTTTTCAACCCGTTCTCGACACTCTCTCGACCACCTGCTCAGATGGACTTGCGGCACATCTCCCAGGCGCCCGACTCGGACGTGATCGAAGTGGGCATCGACCTGCAGGACTACTACCTGTCGGTGGAGTGGGACATCATGGGCGTGCCGGCAGTGAGGCACGAAAAGTTTTACGTGTGCTGCGAGGAACCGTACCTGGACATATTTTTCAACATCACCCTTAGGAGGAAGACGCTTTTCTACACGGTGAACCTGATCATACCGTGCGTGGGCATATCGTTCCTGTCCGTGCTGGTGTTCTACCTGCCGTCCGAGTCCGGCGAGAAGGTGTCGCTTTGCATATCGATACTGCTCTCCCTCACCGTGTTCTTCCTGCTGCTGGTCGAGATCATACCGCCCACGTCGCTCACCGTCCCGTTGCTGGGCAAATACCTGCTGTTTACCATGGTCCTGGTCACGTTGTCCGTGTTCGTCACCGTGGCCGTCCTCAACGTCAACTTCAGGTAAACGCGTTTGTCCCTCATAATAACAATATTATTTTGGGGTGCCCGGTAGTAGTAAGCCCACGTGAGATCGGGTACGATGCAGTGAAATACCTATTATATTGTTATTATTACATCTCACGCGCTCGTCGTTCTAGCACAAATGGTGCACCTGAATTGCCTACACGTTACTCCGTTCTACAAAAAAGTGATTTGAACGACTTAGATTTACAATTACAACAATATTAACCTTTGTTGACGCGCGTGGAGCAATTATTTACCACGGTCCACTTTAGATGTATTATGCTATAAATTATTTCGCACAATCACAAAAATGTCAAAATATAATCTTTGTACAACATAAAGTCGTATCAAAACAATTAATGTCTATGTAAAAATGAATATAATACTTAAATGTAGCGTAAACAATAATTGTTTTATAATTTATTATATAATATTAAATAAAATTGTAGTAATTTTATTATTATTTAAAAGAAAAAAATTACCCCTCGGGCTCAACTATGTGGTCTGATACCAAGCGAGTTACTTAATGTTAATCAACAGTAAACAGTAAATATGCAATTATTTTGAATCTTTTAAACATTAAACGAAAACAGGAGGTTACTTATTTATTCATAAAACTCGATTTTAAAAGCAAGACACTATTATATCATCTATAATGCACAAAACTATACAATTATAGTAATAATTTATTATTAAAAATAAAAATACGTTTGCTTAATTTTTACAAGATTTACAAATTATTCTAACCCATTTCTAAAACCTAGAAGTCTCGTGTTACATACTATCTTTAAATTACTATATAACCTACAATTTCATAAGAATATTTTCTACTTAGTTGCCTATAGTACAAAAGCTGGTGTCTGTATGGTCGAGTACTCAAAAACTTAAATATTTGAAGAAAATATTAATTTTTAGTGATTGATACATGCGGTTAGGACTGTTTTTAAAATCTTTAAAAAATGTCTCTGACTATAATTCAAATATGCTTTTACAGGTATCTATGCTAAATTAAAAAATATTATTTTGACACTTTGGGTTGTTATATTATTGAGCAGGTTAGGTTAGGTTGTCACGTAGTCAAGCCAGAAGGACAGGTGTGGCGATATTATAATATTATTGTGTATTGGCGTATAATATACAATTGACGTTTCGATTTCACAGGTCACCGGTAACGCACAAGATGAGACCGTGGGTGGTGAAGCTGTTCATCCAGATCCTGCCCAAGGTGCTGTTCATCGAGCGACCCAAGAAGGGAGACTCGATCGACGAGGACGACGACGACGATGACGAGAAGAACGGTGAAATCCTGTCGGGCGTGTTCGACGTGCCGTCCGAGATCGACAAGTACTTGGGCTACAACCGTGGTTACAGTTTCGATTACGGCGTACCGCCACCGCTTCCGTCGTCCAGGTACGCCTGCGCCAGGGCCGCGTGCCCCGGGGGGGTGAGCGGAGTCGCGGGCGTGAGCGCCGGTGCTGGCGCCGTGACCGGGTCCAACGACACGGTGGTGAACATGGCGTCGGACGAGGACGAGGACGCGATCGAGCTCGACGCCGAGGACGAGTACGACGACATGTTCAGCCCGACGACCACGACGGACGACGGTCTGGCCAGCCCGACGTTCGAGAGCCATCACCACCATCACCAGCACCAGCACGGGTGTCCGGTGGACCAGCAGCCCAGGCACGACCCGGCCATGCAGACTATCCAGGACGCAAAGTTCATTGCTCAACACGTCAAGAACCAAGACAAGTTTGACGAGGTGAGTGCAGGTGTCATCGCAGGTCACCTGGACTGCAGGGCTTGCGAAATGACCAAGTCTTTACTTTTTATACCAAATATTGTACCGATAACTTCGCCCGCTGCAGCTGCTGAAAACCTGCGATTTTAACTAGTATCTAAAACCCTTGGCGGAAAACCTCGGGGCGACCCTTAAAAGTGGTTAGGTAACTGGGGATATGTAGGGGAGGGTGACTATTGGCTGTAGGCCGCCACTGTGACACGTCCTCCATAAAGTGAAAGATATTGCTGCGGTAAAATGCAAAGTCCTGACGGGAGGTTTTTCTTTTGTCCGATAGGTTTTCTTGATTCTAGTCCGAATTAACGTCGTTAAAATACCACCTGTTACTTGCGCGGTTCGACTGAGAAAATCACTTCCACAGGTGTTCGAATTTTATAAAACCATACCTCTCGTACAATATTATAATATTATTGTATCATTAGTGTGACGTGTTAGAAATAGTCATTTCGAGCTCTGATGACTTAGGTATTCTGAGGTGCTCCAGTATACCAATGTTTTTTTTTTCGTTCTGTTTTCCGCAGATCATCGAAGACTGGCAATACGTGGCCATGGTCTTGGACAGGCTGTTCCTGTGGATATTCACGTGCGCCTGTCTCATCGGCACAGCCCTCATCATTTTCCAAGCGCCGGCCCTGTACGACAAGACAAAGCCCATCGACGTTGTTTACTCGAAAATCGCTAAAAAGAAACTGCAAGCCATTTTATGAGACACCACAACAATACAAAGCTCAATGACGTTTTTTAGTAAACAACTTAGTGAATACAAACAGTTAATCGATAACAATCCTATAATAATGTATAAATTATACTTCGTTTTACTAATCATCAAGTTTTTATTATACATTATATTTTTTGTTTTTTTTATAATTGATTTTTCATGAATGGCGTGAATCGTTGTCGCCAATAAAATAATATTATATTATCAATAATAATAATTATCGTTTTACAGTTCATATTTTATTTGTTATAAATAAATCATTGAAAATCATTAGATGTATTATTCAATACAGCCATTGACCGTGGTGCCATCAGTTATCATATAAATATTATAATATTGTATAACTTATATTATATTGTTATTATTTGATATTTCGTTTAATACCGAGACTAAGTATAATAATATATATGACCCGCATTTGTTTAAAATATTCAACTACCTAGTTGAATTATTTCACTAAGTTATTCAGATAAATGCTTTGTCATTGCAACTAATGTCATTTGGTTTCTTGGAAATAAACGAATGATGTAATAAATCCTTTTTTGTTATTTATTCTTTAAATACATAGTTAATACTAATTTATTAATAATATATTAACAATACTTAATATACTTGATTTACACTAAACATTACAATATTTTAGTCTAAGATATATTATAGAAATACACATTTTATGCAAGTATAAAAAAGTTGAGATATAATTTAAATAACTTTAAAATAAATACCTTATAATAACATTTTTATATAATTTACCATCACAAATTTTTAGTCCAAAATCAAAGTCTTAAACGACATTTTATCGTATGAAAACGATTTTTTCTTTTTCAGTCTTTTCGACTCATCTGATTTATAACTTACGTTGGACAAAAACCAATCGTTGTTCTTCAATATCAATGTTTTCCATTCCTCTGTAACATAATATTTTATTAATAGTTTTAAGCTTTGACGTGTTACAATAAGTTAAATAATTTCAAGTTATCCGAAACTAAGGATGACAAACTTTTGATAAAAAACTTGTATAGCTTTAAAAATTCATAGAAAGTAAGTTACAGAAAGACCTAACAAATTAAAAATTGATACTAGTTAAGAAGTGTGAAAAAAATTATGGAAAAGATGTGGATATTTAATTATTTAAGATTTACTTATGATTAATGCACAATTTTTTTTTTTAAATAATATTTTGAAGAGAGTTTCAACGTTTTTAATTAATTTTGGTATTACAAAAATTATATTGAAATCTTAAAAAATTTTATAAAATTAACTACCTGACTTCAATAAACAGTTTTTTAACAACATTTTTCAATAAATTAGATTTACAAATCAGCCAGTTTAAATTTGTTCATAAAACATATTTTTATTATATTTAAAATTTTAAATAAAAACTTTAAAATATTAATATTTTTTTTTCAAAACTTTTTATTTGGTGACTCTGTTACAAGTTTGTACAAGAACCTTATTTGATGATAATAATAAAAAAATTAAATAATGGCATGGACATAAGTGAGTGAAGAAGTCCTCCCAGTAGGTACCTACCTCCCCTCCCTCCAGTAACTTATCGTGAAATAAATTATAATTTAGAACAAAAGTTATTTAATTTGTCAGATAATTCTGTCACACCTTATACAACAGATATACATTAGTATAGCCCATCTATGTTTGAATCATAATAGAAGCCAATAGAACTCATTATTAATTTTCTTTTTCACTAATTGTATAAATGTTATGGAATGACTCTACCATTAAAAAACAATGTCAATACATTATAATAATGTATTATGAAATAATTATTAGTGAGGTACTGAGGTCAATACAACGTATAGTTATTTTTACCTCTGATCACGTCCAAATTTCCATTATATCCTCCGTATTCGATGGGAAGTACATCTCTTGGTATGTGTTCCCATAGACTTTCGAGGTTCTTGTGGAATGATAACTAAAACATATTATAATAGTATAAAAACAATATGACGTTTTTGATTACGTAATGTATACTCGGTGTAGGTACTAAAGTACACAAGTCACACACATTTCAAGTGCGAAATTAGCATAGCACTTACTCTGGCAAACATTTTTTTCGACACAAACGGTTTTAAGATGTTTTTGGCTACGTCAATAAAACTCGGCGGGAACAAAATATGAGTGTGTTTCAGACGCAACGGATACGCTTTCTGAAAAATTACAATAATTTAATACAATATTATCGATAGTCAAATAAACATTTTGAGGTCGTCAGACGTTGTAGGTATATATATATTATAAGTACCCACCGAAAGTGAGAATCGCATTTTATTTATTTAATAATATTATATTGTATTTCCATCTCGATTTATGAAAATTATATCACACATTGGGAGTACGGGCTGTGATAAACAATAACTCATCCATTACCACACCACCCAATTTGACCGTGACACGTTTGGGTACACAACCATTTTTTACCTGAGGATTGGGCACTCACACACGTTTAGGTACAAATTTTTTTTCAGACGCTAAAAATGAACACAACGTTTATCAGGTACATATCATGTTTAATCAAAAAAAAATCATAAAACTCTAATACCTATATGTTTTTCCTCTAAAGGGAAAATCTATTGATCATAAATATTATGTTTTTGTTAATAAGTAACCATGACAACGAAAACAATATGAAAAATCAGCCAGAAACATTTTATCGTATACAGACAAAAAACATATTTATGTTAAGACACTAGTTGTGGGTAAAAGTTTTTATTTCAGTACAATTTTACTATTTTACTTTAACGTAGAGCCCATTTTTATTAACGTTGACCAGGAGACATACAGTGTTAGGTGATTGGCTCTAAATAGTTATAATTGTCTACCAAAGACTTTTTCAAATTTAATTTAAGCTAATATGTTGATCATATTTATGTATAATATTATAATATAAAATCTATAAAAATCAATAAATACAATCACAAAAATAACATTAAATATAAATTATAAAATTTCAAATATTACTGTATAAAAATATTTTGATCTCTGTGCATTATATGTTATTAAATCTATAAAAACCAAAACATTTTATTTTCGTCTAAAGCTTCTTTCCTTTGCGACTTAGTCGAAAACAGTAAGTTTTACATACGTGTATTAAGTATTTTATATGGGTCCATAAAGTAGGTATAAATATGGTATTATATTATCGGTTCATTTATCACTTATCAAGTTCAGTATTTATCAATTTTACTGTACCCAAACGTTCTCCGATTTTCCCGATAACATTTTTTTTATGATTTAATTCTATGTGTCCAAAAACTTTACGTCTATTTGTGTCCCAAATTTTTGGATTTCGGCTTATTGTGTCCAAATATTCACCGGCCACCAACTTGTCTAAGACATAATTGTATTCATTATTATGCTTATTGATATCCTCCGTGTTGTTCTGGTATATAACATTACGGTGTTGTATGTAGGTAAGTACTTGGATTATTTTTCACTTACACAATAATAAAATATTATATTATATTATAATAATAGGTACTATACAATAACTATTTAAATATTGACTATATAATTATTATATGTACTTAAACATTATTACTAAAAAAACTTTATATATTAAATGAAAAAAAACGAAAATGCTAAACTATTCGCGCGTTATACCAGTTTGAATTGTATGACATTGAAAACATTTCAATATAATAATATGTTATTATTTGAATCGGAGTTTACTGACCTGTGCGTGTTTAATGAGATTTTTCAGCTGGAACAAGTCAAACTGACTTATGTGTGACAAGGTAATGTGCCTCGTGTCGATCAAAACGTGTATACCGGTAAAATCGATACCTTTCTTCTGATAGATATCCAACATCAAGCGCATTCTCTTATATATCTCGATCGGACGAAACAAATGCGAATTCTTATCGTTGAAGTTGTAGTACATTATCTTAAGTCCGTCCGGAGTGTGTTTGGGCATCATGACCATGGTCCTGTGCAAACAAGTGTCATACGAAAATAATTAGATTCGTTTACGCAACTACGAGTTTCAAAGTCGGTGATAATTGTATTGTAATTTGTTCAAAAAAAAAAAAAAAAATTGAAAATTACGAGTTTCAGGAACTAACCGGAATTTAACTGATAGGTACTATAAGCTAAATTATTTTTTAACATATATAATATCCTGTTTTTGAGCTTTAAACATATTTTTTTCTTACCGATTTTGGGTAACGCTTTGTTTATAGCTATGAAAACACACTCAACAGTTTTTTTTTTCACTGTGATTAAAAATATATCGCACTAAAAAATAATTTAAATAATGAGTATATTATAGGTTTTGAATTGTCTTTATTAAACTAAAAACCAGTCTATAATTGTTAACTCATTAAATTCCTAACAAAATGTAGGTATTATCATGCTACAAGATATTTTTCCACTGCGCTACGCCCAAAAAACAAATATATATAATTCCTCAACTTTCCTTGTAGATAAAAGTAGCATGCTATACTGTTCTAAATTTATTTTCACTAGAATTGAAGTATATAGGTATATTAAATTATATATTTGCCACTTGTCAAGACGTGACAATAATAATAAATTAACCTATCAATTATTCCCATTAAGAATATTAATCATGTAAATAATGATTATTTTTGCTGTGTCGGAGAATCGAAAGCGTGATTCCTACCAAAATAGGTAAATCTAATAACAACTTACAACACCTGATTTTATTTTTAAACTGAAATGTATGTTTTAAACTAATATCTTACTAAATTATTCAACCAACTAACAATTGCACTGCTCTGAAAACCAATAATGTGTGGTAAAAAGGATTTACTTACAAATATTCAAACAAATCACTTTCCACATAATTTGGTAGATCACACACATCATAGACTTGTGGAAACAACGTTTTCAAGCGAAAATGGCTTTCCACCCCTAGTTTGGTTTTTTCCAGATTATTTTTCGTCAGCCGTAAAAATCCTTCGATCCAAAAATCTATTTCATCTAAATCGTCAAATAAATATTTTTTAAATATAAATTATAAATTTAAATTAATTGTTGAAAATGTGTATATAAAAAAAAAAAAATAGTCTTATAGGCCATTATAATATAGAGATAGATGGTTACCATTTTTAGATTCTGGAAACTTGGGTAAATGCGGTTGTGTTAGCATCCAGCTTCTGACCGTGGCTACATCTTTAGTGATTTGATCTTTTGTTAAACCGTACTCTTTCTTTAATCTCTTCACTTCTTCTTCGTTCGGTATCACGTGATATTCCGGCATTTTTATTCAAAGTTTTTATGACTGAAAAAAAATAAATACATTTGTATTTAATAAGTATAGGCACCTACTTAAATAAAAGTGTTTGAATTGTACGACATAACAAATAAATCTAGTAACTATGAGAGGATGTAGCACACTGTTTGTTTTCTCTCTCTGGTCCACGACCAAAGTAGACACAACGAATTCACTCAAAAATATTTAATTTTTTTATGTTTTTCTAGGGTAATCATAGATTAAAATCACCCATTGCTAAAAATATAGAGAGTAATATTTTTGAAGTTATGACGTCATATAGATTTGTCTAATTATTGTTTGAAAACAATTTAAAATTAATTTAAATTTACAATTTTTTTTTTTAGTTGTGTACAAATTCAATTTACAATAAACTATAAGACCAAGATGCCGAACCCATAAAAATATCATCCTCTAAACGAGAATAAATTTTGGGCCAACACACGACAGTTCGGTCAGTGGTGCCCAATATTCCTATTATACTTAGGTACTATAATATTATGATAAAATAAAAATCTATTTTGAGCTTGTATCCGGGAAAGATAACAAATATAGCGATGATGACATCCCGTTTAAACGTCGCTGGAAATGTTAGGTTGTATAATATTAAATATTATGAATAAATATATTATCTTATAACGTCATATGCGTATCCCTCTGATATTTTATGATGGACATTAGATTATAATAACAAACGAACAAGTGATTTTCCAGTCACAACTCACTGTCATGTCCACCAAACAAAGCAATAGTTCGTCATGGAAATATCTCAGAACAGCTATTGATCTAGGCAAATTTTTATTCAAACACTCCTAACGTTAACACTATAGTGATCGTCATGGCTGATAGGTACATGCGACTATTGTGGTCAGTGGTCACATTCGAATAAATTACGACAAACCGTCGTCGACTGATATCCGAAATTATTGTTGATGAACACTTTGACGCCCAAAAACGTGTTCTTCAAATATTTAAATGTCATTGTTGCTCGTCGTTCGACATACTTACGACCTACGGAAACTATGGTGAAAAACTACTAAATACCTGTAGGTACGTGTTTCCGCATTGGCTACATAATATCATTACCTCAGACAAGGACGACTGCAGCGATTAAAACTATGATCACTTAAGAATAATTAATCGATGAGTTCGCCGTTGACGTATTGGCGTAACCTAATAATTATTACTACCTACTTTACAACAACAAGTCGAACAATATACCACAACTTAGCTTAACTGCCGCTTTATATACTACGAGAATAGGAATATCGGTGGGACCGTGTGACAATAGGTCGGGTTGCTGGAATAATTGTATGCTCTTATGTCGGCTGAAAATGTCATTTTTTATTTGCATCCTTCACTCGTAATCGACCGTCCATGTACGACTGAGTGTAACGTGAAGTGTGTGTGTACAATATTATAATATTGTTATGACGTACCTCATGCAATAGTTGTACACTTTTTCTCAAATGTCGCAAATGTATTCAACGCGATGCCATTGGTATCAATATTATAGACATGACTTTTTGATATTTTAGATACACGTGCGTACCACGCAGGCGTGCAAGAGAAAAATCATGTTTTGCAAATCACATACTTTACAATATCGTGTCGAAAACATGCAACTTACTACAATATAATAATATGCCATGTCGAGATTCGCATAAGGTTTTAGACTACAGACAACGACGAAACTATCGGAAAACTAATATCATTATCACCTGCAGACAACCACCAACATGATAATATATCGTTAAATGTAGAAACGAAGCGACAACTACTAACACCGGGTTAAAACATATCATGTACTATTTAATGAGGAATTTATACAAATTCACACTATTTAAAATTTTTTTCAAATATGTTTTAATTCATTGATTTGTGAATAATTTTTTTCTTGAATGTCTTTATGGTCATAATACGATTTCAACAACACAGTATGTTCACATTCCAAGTGAAGACAAATTATTCGAGATATAGGTGTAACGAATTCATAATAATTACAAGAGGACTCAGATTTCTGTACATATGTACATATTTTTTGGCTTTACTCCAAATACATTGCTTGTCATTTCGAAGTCCACGATTTTGCTCTTACTGGATTGAATAGAACAATTTCGTTCTTTCACATTTTTGCATATTTTCATCAAAATACATGTAATTGCATACTTGGAGTTTTTGAGAATTTATTTGAAAAAACAAATGTAAAATCGTATTCATGAACATCTGTAATTATTGTTTTATATGTCGTAAATAATATTAAATTTATAAACTGACATAATATGGACGGTTGAATCGAGTAAAAAGTAAGATTTCATCTTAATACAGGCTTATTAACTATGGGATTGCACATAAGTTAATTTAATAATCATAAGTAAGACACGTGTTTACCACACCATGTAGATACAAAATTTAATTTTTTTTTTAAATTTTGAGTGTCATTTAGTTTTTAGTTTAACATTTACACAAAATTAACGATTTAAAATAATGAACAAAGTTCAAAGCGAAGGTGCCAAGTTAAGAAAAAATGTTAAAGAATTATCTATTGAATTTTGCAAGCCTGATGATAAAATACTTTATTGTGATATTTGTTATGCTATTTTTATACGAAAACTATTTAATGATTTAGAAAGTATATCTTAAGAGTTTATTATTAAAATAATAAATTTTTTTTTGCATATTTCTATATATTTTAATGTTTTTAATCGCATAAAAATCCTAACCATAGTAATCACGATTAATAATTCCAATAATTGCTTTTTATTACGTATTATAAATATACGTACAATTTATATGTTTTAGATCTAAATGTAGGTATTCGATTCAGTACAGGTAGATTGTCGTAATTTAGCCGGAAAGTCGAAAACCATAATATCGACGAAAAAGTATCGCTACAACATTCAATTAGGTGACTTGGACTATTTATAAACAGTTGTAAAATATGAAAATATAACAGACATACAATTGTTATGAGAGTTCATTTTGCATAACTTTAAATTGTTCGAACCAATAATATTAATATCAATGTACCCATTAAAAACTATACTATATTAATAAATACTACCTATATACATATAATGCAATATACGGACAACAGGTGTTCAATTATTTTCGTAATATCATAAACTATTAAGAAATTATAAATATTTATTATTATCATCGCATCTCAATGCGATTCCAATCATAGTAAGATGGAACTGACCAAGTCGTTTTTTGTCGCTATATGTGGCAATTAAATACCTATTGTAAAATGTCTAGAACTAAAGAATTAATAATAATTAATGAAACAATACAATTCTCATTCAAACTATATTGTAATTTGATTATTTTCTCTGGGTAAAACCGTATACGACTCATAGAATCTAAAAATAATATTTCTGGAAATGACATAAAAGTCTATTCATATTATAACATACAACATTTAACAGTAAAACCGGCGAAAAATCCGATATTAATGCTTGACAAAATAATAATTAAGATTTTATTCCCGATATTCCAAACAATTCTATGAAATCCTGAAAAAAGTAGTACACTGAACTGTAACAAACCTAAAAATCAAAAAATGTATTTATTGCCGGAGTAAAAAAATAAATAAGTATCACTGTTCTTTAAGATATAATATTATGAAAACACTTGAAACTGATATGAGTAAAATTATTTACCCTGGAAAAAACAAAATAAAACAGAATATTTATGGACATAACATACAAAACCATGCATCTCATAAAGTACAAGATTTAAGGGGATTGGAAGCGGCGATTTTCTGTATTTGTCAAACACACGTGCAACATAGTATTACGCCCCTATAATAATAGACGTGTCCTATTTCTAACGTAAAGATTAATCTAGTGAAGCGATAAGAATATTCTGAAAACAGATTTGAATTTGTGGTCAGTTTGCTTGAGATCGACTTTCCCACATTTTTGATTTTAGATTCTGAGTGAAACGATGAATGTATTGATTTTACAATGATGTGTGTTTTTTTTTTTATTTTTTTATTTTATTTTTTATTTTTTTTGTGTCTGTGTACACGATAAGTAGTCGAAATAATGCTTCGATTTTCGACTTCAGTATCTTGTTCGATTGGAAAGTGAATATCGTTGGTGCATTGGGGAGGTCAAAATTTAAATTTCCCAGTAGTTTTCAAGAGCGCCGGGAAAAACAAAAGAAAAATTAAGGAAAAACGGGAATTTTTACGCAAAATCGATTTTTCAGAAAATTGAATTTGGTTTTTGGTGTAACTTTAAAACAAATGACCGTAGGTACATGCAATTTTCACTGGTTGTTTATATTTGCATCTTCTATACACGATAACATTTTCAAAATATTTTGATTTATTTTGAACAGTTTAGGGACATTTTCATTTTTAGTTTTTTTTTTGTTTTTTTTCTAGAAATATCAATAAAATTTTATTTGTTGGTTGCGAAAGCTTGAAAATTTAATAGAAGGCTCCTAATATATTGTTTCAAGGGCAGATGAAAAATATTAAAAATCCTTAGTCACAATTTTTTTTTATAAGCATTTAAAGTTCAAAAATTGACAAAATATGGAAAAATCACGAAAATTAGCAAATTATTTTGAGTTAAGAATTCGTAAAAATTTTTCTTTTTAAATCTAAGATTTGAAAATCTAATACAAGATTACTCATAAGATTGTCTACCTTTATCAATAAAAAAATCTCTACCGGAAAGTCAAATTAAATTTTTATGAGCGTTTGAAATTCAAATTTTTACAACATTGGATATTCACTCGATTTCTCATGTGGCAATTTCCTTTTTTTGTTGTAATTAAAAAACGAATTACTGTAGATACATGAAAATTTCACTGAATGTTTGTATTAGCATTTTCTATACACCATACAATTTTGAAAATATTTTGACTCTTTTTGAGCCGTTTACGGACATTTTCAGTTTTCAATTTTTTTAGTTTTTTTTTTCTATAAATATTAATTAAGTTTTATCTGTTGGGCCAAAAAGTGTAAAAATTTA